TGTTCATGTGACATGTACTCTGTCTTTAGATGAGGACATGATTTCTGTGCTACCTGTGTGTTCAGAGCTTACCGGTGAATCAACTGATCATGACACCTGGCATGGACTGTGCCAGAGCAGGCGCGCCTTCGCCACCTGCTCTACAAAGAAAAGCCTCCAGGAGGAAATCAAGGTCGTCACATCGGATCTCCGCAAGAACGGCTACCCTAAACGGTTTCTTCTTCGGATACTCGAGAAATCAAGGCATCCACCCCTAGGGCGCAGCAGTCCCCCTTCCGATCGCGTCTGTGTCCCCTACATTAGCCGCATTAGCGAGATCCTTTCCTGCGTTCTCGGTCGCTACGGGATTGTGGTGATTCATAAGCCCGTGTCGACAATCGGTCATCGCCTCCCCCTCCCGAAGGATCGGCCCCCCAAAGAAACGGCCCCCCAAAGAAACGGCCCAAGGCTTGGTCTACCGCATACCATGCAAGGATTGCCCGGCCTCATACGTTGGCGAAAGTAATTAAAGAACTTCGCAGAGAGGCTTACGCGACACAAATATGATGTCCGGAAGAAGGATGTGGAGGTGAGCGCCCTCGCGGAGCACGCAGAAGCAGCCGGCCACACTGTCGACTTCGAGGGAAGCACCGTGCTGGCCTTGGAGAAGAATTGGCCAAAGCGGCTCTTTGTTGAGTCCTGGTTTATCCAGCGCACAAAGGGGAACGTGAATTGTTCTTCGGGCTCCCTGCCTAGCAGCTACGTCTCGGGACTGAGTGACGTGAGCAAAGCCCCCTACATCCGTATGTGCACTTAGACGACACGTGTTCTTTTCTTTTCGTCACTCACCCGTGAGCAAGGGACCGAACTGGTCCCGAAACGTCGGGTAAATGTTTATGAAATTTTTGGTTAGAGTCCCTATTTTTCGCTTCACGCTGATGACCAACCTCAAAAATGCACAGAAGCAGACGCAAGCGATTGAGCTGCGATTGGCCGTCTGTCGGCCGAGCAGATTGTTCCTACTGCACACTGCTTCTCGAGTTCTTGCGGCTTTTTTTGCACATTTGCACTCTAAGCTTGACACAACATAAGATCAGCAGTAGAAGCTCTGCCTACAGCACATGCTTGCCCTCTAGCGTCTGTAGTGCGTTGGTGCACGCACACGCTTGTCTTTTCAAATGAAAGCTCTCGCTGGAGACGGCACCTTTACTGCTGATCTCACATTGCAAAAGATGTAGTTCAATCGGATCGCTCCACTGGTCGGACAGTATAGTGTGTTCCTCTTCGTAAAATTCGCATGACATACGTTTCTCTGCATGCCATAACCGCTTGATCGTGTGGCCGTGCTCAGCAGAACAACCCGGACTGCGAGAAAAACAATTGTCTCGCTTACTCAGTGTGCTGGGTGGCTAGTATCATTCCCTCCGCTCGACTTTGTACGGTTTCGATGGGAGTCTATCGAATTTTATGCGGGGGGTAATCCCTTCTTGTTCTTGACAGTTGACAACACTAAAGTACTGTTGATGGTGACGTTTCAAATGCATTGAGGCCGCGCTTGTTGCTCCCGGTATTGACATGCTTGGACAAAGAAACAATTCCTAGCATGCGGCGAGCTCGGGTCCCCAAGGTAATGTTGTGTGGTGACGACTACGAGGGACGTATTTTGAGTCGTGACCACGCGAACATACAAATAACAGCTGCGTGCAGAGGTAAACAGTCGCCCGAACAGGTTTGTTATTGTGCGGGGCCATGGGACTTGTACTACTCTGACACTCTATTGCCCGCCACCGGAGGGCACCACAATACATTCAAAGCTCCAGTACAGGGGGCCTACGAATCGAACCTCGAAACCAGGAGGAGCACTAAACGGAGTGAAAAAAGACGAGAACTCCATTGTGTTTGCGGCGGCAGCGGCGGTAGAGATGGTCAAGGTTTGGGGAAGAACTTGGAAATGACACTCCTGTGAGATTTTGAGTGACTGCCAACGTTCGGCTGTCCTTCTGAAGCCAGTAGGATCTTCCTTTTAAGGTATCCCTGACGTACACACTAGTCGTTCTCTTTATCGTTGGATTAATAAGTCGCATTTAGCTTTTATTCTTGGATTCGACTTTCTGGAACAGTTCAGCAACAGCGCAATAACATCCTTGGGTGCCTCAATGATGTGTACGTGTGAAACGGGTCGTGCAACTATATTTTTACTTTCAGTAAATACCGCTAAGAGCTAATCCCTAACGTTGATAACTTGCAAAAACACCCATTAGTTTTCCTCTCCACGCAATGGCAGACGTGGAAAAAATAAAAAATAAAAAAGCTCCCCCCTCCTCAACTTGCTATTAGAATAAATGGCCACGTGATCTGACACTAATTACAGTACATATACCGTCGGTGTTCATCATAGTCATGTGCTAGGGTTGGTAAAGAATAAAGCATGGGTTGAGCCAGTGCCTCTTATATAAGTTACACTATGCCCGTCAGCTTCTCTCCAAGACGTGTCCAGGCCCGATGCTTCACCTCACAACACGCACGTACAGCTAGGCAGCGCCGCCTGGCGGACGTTCGTTTTGTCTATTTTTCTAGCATGTTGTATTTACCTTATTATTGAAGATATATCATATATATGTTTTTTTAACAACATGCCGAACACTGTTCTGAATGTGACCGCCCTGATTCAAACAGTTTCGCAGAGACAAAATACGAAACTACGAAACAAGCACGGCCAGGTTTCGCTTCTGCAGCGCGAACGCGGAGAACGCTTGGCCGCTTGATCGTCTGCTTTGGCGGCACTTTGGGGCTTTGGCGGTCACCTTGAATAGCGCACATAGAAATAGTTGGCGCCGGGTCGTGTGTGGGTGAAAAGGTAGGAAAATAAGAAGTAATATTCCGTTGAAAACGGCGAGCTGGTCCCGAGCCGTCAGTCAAAAACATTAGATTTCGTGCTGTCGGTGCTGCTGGGGCAACATCATTGGACCTGCTACGGAAGAGATGGTTGGCTTCACTCCATGGCACGTTTGTACGCCTAGGTGGCTCCACCGCACGGCAACCACACATACTATTTGCCCTCTCCCTTCCGCTTGCCAATGCTCGGAGCTGATAGGCATAGTGTAACTTATATAGGAGGCACTGGTTGAGCTTTAGACATTGTTAGAGTTCGGCCATTCTATCTTTGATTGAACACAAGCCATTACCCGAATGTTTAGTGATGCTGATTGTCATGAACCCGAGCACTCGATTCGGACTCATGACGAGTATGTCACGTGATTCGCGTTGAGAAGTTGCAACGTCATGTGACGTCACGGTGTCAACAATGCTAATAAATTTAGTGACATTTTCAATTTAAGCCGACTTGACACGGGAGTCGCGTGACTATGTTGCCACGTGATGTGACATTACTTGGCAGCATTTCTTGGCACCATGGCGTCACATGACCACGTGACACGATTTAGAATAGTGCCAATACAAAGTGCCATGAACACCCACTATTTCTCATACATTTCGATTCAGTAAATGACATTTCGATCACAACATAGAAATACAGCTGCCCATTTTTATTTCTCAAACATCAATTTTGTAATACAAAAAAAAAATATTGTGAACCATTTTGAATGGGTTACCATTATATTTTTTCCCGGTTTAGTTCCAAGATGGCGGCAAAGATTTCGGTTCGGTTCAGTTCTGGTTCCGCTAACAATAATGGTTTGGTTCGGTTCCGGCTCGACACTCTGTACTACACTAAGGACATGAGATATGTTCTACTAGGGCAGGGATTGTGGGTTCAATTCCTGCCCATTGAGTCTGGACGAGCTACACGGTTGTTCATCACTGCCGAGTGGTGCGCATTGCAGAGCCCGAGCTAGCAGGGGTCCCGTACTGGCTGAATTGCTCATCTACAGCGTCCCAATGCCCATTGAAGCCGACCAACTTCCCGCTGCTCTATGCACAATACACTTACTTGCACAGGGTGTCTAGCGACCGGGAGAACCAGGAAAACCAGGAATTGTAAGGGAAAATTTAGTTACTGGGAAAAAATCAGTGAATTGTCAGGGATATTGTCAAAAAGCAAGCCCAGTCAGGGAAAATGAGCCGGAAATACCATTGAGTGCCCTGAGCGCAGAGTTGAGGACTTGGAGGCAGAAAAATATGCAGTAAAGTCGGCTTAGAGCGGAGCGCGGGCCCTGCTCACCCGATGTAGAGTGTGCTGCCCGATACAAAGGGAACAGCTGACAAATCCAGTCCAAGCCTTGAATTGAATTGGAGTGAGAGCGCGACATTAGGCTAGATCCAGTTAGAGCAACTAGGTTTAGTAACAAATGGGAAAGCCGCAAACCCCAAAAGTATTCGAAAGTGTGCATCTGGCGGCCATGCTGCCATTCTGTTATTGGCGTCCGTGCTTGAGCACTTGAGCGTCATGTTTTCATGGTGTTTCCAGAAGTGGCCTCTTCACTGACGATGTCGACGGCAAGAAAACGCTCGTTTAATCCGGACTGGACGAACCTAAATATTTCGGAATATGCAAGTTAGATTAGGCCCGTGCAAAATGATCCTCACAGTGCTCAATGCTCAATGCCTTGTGTTATAATGGCCTTATATATTTCACCGCCTCCACAGTGGTCAGGAAATTTTACCTGAAATTGTCAGGGAATTTCACCTGAAATTGTCAGGGAAAACCTGGAAAAGTCGGGGATTTTCAAAATACTAATTTGCTAGACACCCTGATACTTATGTGCATTTAATTCTTCTCGCAATCCATCCTTCTCCTGTAGCATTTGAACTCGATTTCAAAGTTACTATTTAGAGGTTTTTCATTCTTCTAAGATTTTCTTCCAGATGCCTAACTGGAGCTGCCTGCTGCGGCCATTACTTGAATAAGCGTTTCTCTGCGCGTCCTTTATGGTGCTTAGTGAAGAATGGGCTGTGAAAGGCGTCTGAAATTGCACTGTATGTGTTCCGCAGCCCAGTAGATAAGGATGGTGCTTTTAAGCAGAATATTCTAAATGAAGCATCCTGTGGTTGTTTTGGCACAGGAAGGTATCCCCACGCACGCACTTACCCAAGAACTGCAGAAGAGAATAATGGCAGCCACCTTGGAACACCCGACTGCGAAACGTTTTCCGGCCACCAGCACCTACGTGAAGCACTACCTGAAGCTTCTCATCGACAAGGTACACCCCTGAACCAGTTCCCCCCACCCCCACCCGTCAAGCTTCAGCGCGTTTGGGGCAGATCAATGACACTCTGGATGGCCTCAACTTTGCAGTCTTGGTTCATCATAATGGTTCTTCTCTTTAGCCCAGAGTGAGTGGTAGAGCAGTGAAATGTAGGAAACAATTTGATGCTTGCAGGTCTTCCTTCATAGTAACGACATTTATTTACTTTTCTTTTTATATACTTTATTTATATTATTATATTATATATATATATAATATATATTTATATACTTTTCCCCTTATGTACTGGAGGTGGCGACACATATCAGAAAATCGGTTTTTGTGTGTAGGCAGCAGCTAAAAAGAGCTTTTAGAAGCAGCTCTGTACAGCGGGACGCCATGATTTTTTCGGTCATAGCTATCAGACTTTGTCTCTAAGTTCTTACCAGCTAGTAGAACAAAGACGTTGGATAGATGAAAAATTTCCACCAATTTCAAGCTTTGCTTCGAAAAGACGTTGAAGGTTATTAAAAATTTAGTTTGTGTTTTCTCCTTTCTGGAAATTCCAAGTGCCGTCAAGTTTTTCTCAGGCATACGACTATGCTTGATGGTGCATCTCTCCGATGTCTTGTTTTGTTTATCTGTAAGAAAACATTTGTTTTGCTTTCAGCAAGGGCGACTGCAGAAGACAAAGACGTTGTGCGTATGTTTTGTTTGTCCACCGCAACTGCCCACAGCCTCGCCACTACGGTCCGATTGTGGTCTATTCGATCGATTTGTTCCCCATTAATTTTTTTGTTTGGGTCACGAGTCAGACAGCATAAACTTGATGGAAAGATGGATGCGAATGGCTGAACTCTTCGAGTCGGACAGCAGCTTGCACCACCTATCCAGTGTTTCTAACAGCTAACCACTGCCTAATAAAAAACATGTCCCTGAAACAAATTTTCACAGTTTATTTTGCCACGAAAATGAAGCACACAGAGCTGAATGCTGAGTGTCCGCTTAAATGTTGTGCCTCTGGACACCAAAGTTTCACAACTACCCGCTATCTTATTCAAAGTTAAAAGTGATTTTCTGAAAGACAGAAAAACAGCTGGTCCCCTTAGCCATTGTGTATTTGTGGATTTGGTCAGCCGCCATTTTCCCATTGAAAATTTTCAAAAATTGCTTTTTGAACCAGATAAGAGCAAGCTGGGAGGCTTTGGTATTTACATGATTGTAAACCTCAAACTCAGCTGAGTTTGAGACGTTGCCTCCTCTTTTTCTGCCTTCTGTTGTGTTCTCTTTTCTACCCCAGTCTCAGGTTTACAATCATGTTCAACTTACACCAGCTCGCCTGCACTCTGACTATTTTTTGGTATCTGGTTGGAACTGGTGCATTTGGGCAGAGCATTTGGCAATGCATAGTTTCTTTGTGCAGCGAAAAGGCTCGAAGTACACCTAAGCACTTCTTATGAGTTGTTAATGCGAAAGCATGCACGCCGCTCTTTCGCTCCCTTCTTTCGTCGACGATCAAGCGCACGCGCTGACCTTGGGCATGGAGCGGTGGAGGCGTTGAAACTGACGCGCTGTGGCCAATGGGAGCCTTGTCGGAGCACGCCAGCCAATGGGACTAAAGCCGAAAATCCATCAGCTTTGCTCCGCTCCTTTGGGATCAGAAAATTTTGGTGCCATTGGCTAGCTTTTCGCGTGGTTTCATAGCTGGGAGCTGGCTTCACTTGGAGAAAGGATTTAAGGTGCCGTTTGGCGCGGTTTCAAAACTGAGGACGTCGGCTTGCTCCATGAGACAGTTAATGCTTTCGCATTACAAAGCACTTTTCAGGGACACCCTAACGTGGGGGTTAAGCCTTTTAAGGCTTAACCCCAACATGAGTGACCCGCATAACAACGCCTCAATCGAGGCAAAGATGCTACAATATGTTACCATTTTGTTACCATGGTGCAATGCATACGAGCAATAGATGTTTGTAAGCACCTATTTCTAAGGGGGGTAGGTCTTCAGAAAAATTATTGTTTAAAGTATATAAACAACAAAAGCAAAAAAAAAATAATTTTTCAAGATGGGTATCAGAGGATTGAGGCTTTTGAGGTGGCGTCTCTGCTGTCCTGCTCCGGTCTTATGTGGGCCCGTTGATTTCTCCAGCTCGAGAGCCGCGAGGTCGAGGTGCTTGAAGACCTCTACGTCTGCTACACGGAGCTACTTGGCAGCGTTGACAGCGGCCCGGGATTCGTCACCTATGTGCTGGTAATCTTCTTGGTTGTCTGTTGTCTGCTTTGAAAGCAAACTGGTTTTTATTTATTCGTTTGGGTCATCCTTCCCAGGGACATGATCGCGGGATAGTGGTTGGAGTGCATGATCAATGTGTAACAAATACATTCTGTATGCACACGCAAATATATGAACAGTAATAAACGCGACTACCAGGGAAAGACCAATGGTACAATATCTCGTAACTAGGGTTTTGTGTTTTTAGAGTTTATTTTTGCATGAAATTTAAAAGGGTATTTTCTGGAGTTCATTTGTGTTGTTCAAAACTCTAGGGTTGTTTTTTTTTTTTTTTTTTTAGATTATTTTTGTTGGATTTTCAATTCTCCAAAATTGTGAGCCTAAATTTTGCTGTGCTCGCTAATTTTCTTAAAATTAGATACAAAAATAATATTCAGACAAACATACCTTAAATTCATAAGGCTCTTGCACACATCAATTGCGAGCACACAACGAAGCAAGATATTCCAAAACCATGAAATCTAACATTAATAAGCCATGTGCAGCCCTGCTGGTGAGACCTTCTGCTAGATCTTTTTTTTTTCGCATGCATGTTAGCGTTATCGTCGGCAGAAGGTAGAAGCAAATTAGTCAATGACAGGACTCAAGGAACATGTAATTGGAACTTTGACGGTTGAGTTTTATTTCCAAAAAGATGTTTCCCAGTGGTTGAGTTTTGTTTCTAAAGAAACAGTATAAAGAAAGGGGTAATGCACCGGTCTTTTCCTAATTATCTAGCAGACGCACGTATAGTGCTTGCAAGCTTTTCAGGGATAGAAGCATCAAGTGGAAATATTGAAGGCTAAATTGGTTACCTTCCTTTAGGGGTGTGTGAATATTTAGAATATTCAAGTATGAATTAAATATTTTCCTTGTTCGAAACAGATTCGATTTGAGAATTGCATATTCGGAATTTCCTGAATATTCGGCCAAATAACCATGAATATTCGGAAGTGTACGGCTAAAAAATAAATAATATGCATGTCGCGCATGCCCTGAACCTTCTGAAGCATCTCAGAATGTTTATTCACCAAAATCTAAGCACGATGCATTCATTATTTGTTTCATACCAGCTCTGTTTTACTTTGACATAGAACTCTTATCTGCCCCACAAAAGTCACGGTTTCTTTTTTTCGTTTGTCATTCTGGTCTAACGAGTGCAAGCTCGTTGAACCAGAAAACAGTCCAAGAAGAAATCGGGGGTTAAACATATTTCCTCTGTAAGTAGTTTTGTGGTAGCTAAAGAGGCATGAGATTGTGTAAGAAAAATAAAAGGCAACTACCGTGGTTTCACTATCCCGGTCTTTAATTTGCCCCTTGGGTCGGTCAGAGATGTCTCCAACGTGCTCGCCCAGCATTTTCACGCCGTATCGAGCTCCGGTAACTACAGCGCAAAATTTCGAGAGTTCAAATCTTGCTCGGAAAGCCATTCGATTTGCATGTCGGGGTCAAGCTCAACACAGAACAAAATTAGTATGAAAACGTCATTTAGCCGATTAGTAATTGCAATTCTAGAATGAGCAGTCATAGTTGGAGTGACCGTGAGGTCGGTCAGAGTGTCTCACCACAAAGGGTTAAATCATTTTAAGGGGGTACACTGGCTAGAGGTTGAACTTCTGAACTACTCAAGTGATCGGAATGAAATTTGCAGCGGTGTACTGTGCAAACTTTCAGCTCCCTAAGACAACTTCACATACTTGCATAAGGAGATGTGTCACTCTTCAATAAGAAATCTATGATATGCAAATGAAGCTATTAAGCAGCATTTTAACTGCTTGAGTATAAAGTGGGGGATGTGGGACTTCGGGCTATCTATAACTCTAATGTAAATATTTCAGAAAGAGTGACTAGTACCTCAAAATATGAGATGCATATCTGTCCTATGTCAATTTTTGAAAACATGTCTTTTTCTTAATGAGAACTTTAATGTAAAACAAAATAAAGTGGATAGCCCGATTCCCCAGTAAATTTCAGTCCAGAAACACCTTGATTATGATATCAGAATAATTTTACCTTCGGACAAAAGATTCCTTCGTATGAAATTTGCAGAAAAAAGTGAAACTGAGAAAAATGCATTCAAACATTGAACTCCTTTACTTTGTTACTGCCTCTAAATGTGTTGAAAATATTTAATATCAACGTAACTATTTGGCGCATAGTTATGAAATTTAGTGTAAGGGTGTATAATTAGTTTCTAAAACTGAAAACCTCAAAATTGAAAAATGAGTTTTTTAAAAAAAATTTAAAACTTAGGCCCATGTCCCCCCTTAAGAATTTGGGAAAGTGCCAGTTTCGGAAATGTTCTGTGGGCACAGAATTTCGCGATTGGTAATGCTGCGGTGTCTGTTGGTCACCAAAGGTGTACTTGCGCGATGCATTTTTTGCAGTGTGGTTCCAACGGGCATTATGTGAAATCCACGCAACACGTTAAGTTGCTTAGCATATTTTGGTTTGTTTTTCAGGATGGCCATGACATGGAGGTGACAGTGAGAGAGGCGAAAGCCCTGGTCGCTGACGGCACCACCGGTCTCAGGGCGTGGCAGGTGAGTGCCTCGGGGCAAGGGTACATTCTGCACGGCTTGCCCAGATCCCTCCAGCTGTAAGAACCTCCGAGTTGTGGCTTCTCTGGTTGTTAGACCACATTGTAACTGGTCTACCATTTGGGTCAAAGAGATTCTTAGCTCTTTGAAGGGACTGCATAAATCACTTTCTAGACCTATTGAGCCCAAAATTTGTACGAAGGTGGCCAAAGAATGTGCATCAAGGCAAGAAAAATAAAACTTCACTGAACAAACTTGCTCAAATAAAAAGTTACAAATCAAAAACTTGAAATCCGTACCTACGGCGTCCATCTGCTAATGAAAGGAGCCCGATCGGCACAAGAGCCGACAGATGGTGGCACGTAAAATGGCAGGCGGCCATGACGGACACTTCCCTCCACCCCGGCATTAGCAGATGAGGTTTCCAAGCCAAGCAACGCGCTCTTTTTCTGCGCGAATTCTCAGGGCATGACTCTTTCATTTTTGCCAATCGAATGTAACAAATAAACGCAAACATAAAACATCTGTAATATCTTTTTTTTTTTTTGGCAATTATTTTCAGCTACATGTTGTCTGCTTTGCATTCGCTGGTTGTAACCGCGTCTCTTGTCTGCAATTTCCATCCGTGCTCTTTTGGAGTATAAGTTGTTGGTGCGATTAGCTCCCAATGAGCGAGTGAAGGCTGCTCTCCACTGCGCGGAGTGCCAGAGGACGAAAGAGGTTCGCCGACGTTTTGGAGCCGAGTTTGGGCGGTGACCTCCCCTACAATCTTACGCCGGGTGAGGCGCTTCAACGAGGATGGAAATCTATAAAACACACCACTGATTGGTTGCATATATCGAGTTCCTGCTCACCGGCCAATCAAAAGCCCACGTTTTGCACTATGCTAGGCTCGCTGCGCTCAACGTCGGTGAATAATACAAGCCTTAAGAGAGTGCCACGACAAAGCTCGGTAATTTGGCCCCCTTCGGACGGGGCGACTTTTCCCAGTGTCTTGGCGTCGCACTCCTGGCAATGTGGGGAGTGAGACACAAAACATGAATTGCAGACTTTTGTTGTCGCTAGGCTCGTTCGATTTACCCGCACCTTTTACACCGGCACAGAAACGTGTGAGGTGGCATACCTACGGTCGTATCTCGATACGTGTACCACACTGCCCCACACTTTACTGCACCGGCACGATAGGTGCGGGTAAATGGAACCTGCGAGGAAAATCTAAATTTTTGTGCACTACGCAGACACTGAAGGCTGGTTCACATGCTTGCAACCAAGTGCGTTGTGCTTTCTTGAAAAGAAAGAACACACTGATTGGGCGGAATATCATCATTTCACTAGGGTGCCTGGAACTCCGACTGGTGTGTTCCAAAAAAGTGCTCCCTCCACTTCCGCCCGGTGTCACGCTGTCTCCAGTCGAGATCCTGGCGGCAGCACCGGATGTGGCAGACGCCCATTCTGCTGCACTTCGCTGTGCAGTGTGCTACCTTTAGAATATTCGGCAACCACGCTCGCGTCGGCTCGTGATTTTCGCCAACATTTCGCTGGCTTGTACGGTGTCGCTTGTTGCCGCTTCGCTTTGGCCGTATGGGCAGACGCCAAACGTGCCTGTGGGAGACGCACTTCGGGCCCCGTACCATGGGCTTTAAAACTTACGACAAAGTTACGCGGAGTGCAGGTTCGTCCACTTCTTTTGCGGGAGTTGCGGCAGCGTGGGAACGCCGAGCTCCGATTGGCTCCGATCGAAGGGTGGTGGGTCGACCTCGAGGGCAGCTTGCTTCGAGGTCTACCCACTATCTTTCAGTCGGAGCCAATAGGAACTCGCCATCCCGACGTCGCCGTAACCCCCGCAAAAAAAGTGGACGAACGAGTTTTCCTATGGGAAGCAACTTTTTCCAAACATTGGGCTTTCTATAGATGCTTTACACACGTTCCAATTACAGCCGCCATGGCTGACCTTCTCTTGTCTTGCCGAGATTCCGAGCCACTGAAACGGGCATTGCCGTGCCTCTATAAAGGCTGTTGGGACAAAGAACACAATAGAAGCTAATACGGCAAAAACCTGGCCTACTATGGTAATGATGAAGTGAAGTAAAGATAATAAGAGAAAACAAAAATTGAAGGTCCGTCATGGCGGCGCCCATGCATCGCTGCTGTAAAGCGTCAATAGTGCATTGCACCTGAAGAAGAGCAGGAAACGGAGCCCTTCCCTCTGTCGACATTAGCACTGCAAACGCTGGAATGCGCTCTCTCATCCTCTCCAGCATTCGCTCTGCTAATATGGAAAGAGGAAAGGACTCTGTCTCCTGCAGTTCTTAGGTTGCGACAAACTATAGGCGGCCATGAAATATATACTGTAAACAACTTGATTTTCGGGAGGACCTCATTTGTGGTAAATTTGGGACTCGAATAATTTGACGAAAAATTAATCTTGCGAATATATTTTCCCATGGTAACAGATACTGTATCCTATCACCCCGAGACGTTTTTGTGCCCTCGAAATAGTTCTGAAACCCTACTAAATTCACGAAAATGAAGTTGTTTGCGGTAATGTTCGTGGACAGATGGATGTCTAATTTTGTTGTTGCTTCTTCGTTTTCCCGTGCCCAAGGCTTCCAAGTTTCTGGCAGAGTGGTGTCTGGAGAACCGGCAAGTCCTGAGTGGCAAGTAGGCTTCCCCGTCGCACCTAAAACGCGCGCATTTGGTACTGTACCATGCTCCGTGAAGGTATTCCACGCGGCGCTGGGGTGATGTGCACCTTCTCGAGCAATGTGCCCCGGTAATTTTCCAAAGAGAGTAAGTCAATACGCCTCGCAAGTGGGCTCATTTTCATCTTCTGCGCATGAGAAACGAAGTAGCGGTGACGTCAGAACGCCGAGCCCTGATTGGCTGATCGCGACCCTCTATTTCAGCGTCGTCTGCTCCTTTGCAACGTCGTCTGCTCGCAACATCGTCTGCGTCTGTCTTACCTTTCCTGCGACTTTCGGAAGTGCAGGTCTTTACGTGCGAGCTCGACTTAGCCTTTCAGAGAGGGCAGACGAAATAACTCGAGCGGTACGTTGTTTTTGTCTAACAACTAGCAGACGCGCATCAAGGAGGGAAGTCAAAGGACTCACTGGCGAGGTGTCCCGAGGCGCCGAGGTTTGTTTGCTAAGAACCGAGAGTGAGCGTGTTAGTGCCCCACAAGTTCCCTCCCAAATACTTTTTCCCTCCTTTCGTGTGCGGCAAGACCCCTCATCCTTTAACGGCGTCGGCGGGTTGGCACAGTTAACGTCGCCTGCTTTACGTCTGCTAGTCAAAGCGATGGCTGCTTTACCTTTCCTGCATCTGTCGGAGATTTACCGCTTTTTCACCGGCGAGAGTAACCGTTACCTCGGGAAACAAGGAGATAACAAGAGGAAGAAATTGATCTCTTGATCTAAAATTGAGGTCAGCGATCGAAGTATATTGGGGGAAGGGTTCACAAGGGTCGCGCGGGCATATTCCATTCAGCACGCCAGCCGGTAGTGGGCAGACGGTCGCCGAGTCGCAGAATGCCTGCTAGGCCTAAATGCCGAAGCTCGCTTGGTGCGTTCGGTGGAATCGTGGCCGTTGGAGCTTTTCCCGGGTGTTTGTGGAGCCAGCGTTATTGTTCGTTGTGGTCTGTTTCAAGCACTTCTTACTTTTTTCTTGCTGCTTGAAGTCGGGACGCATGAGAAGCGCACATAGAAAAATAATTGTCCGTGGGTCGTCGCGATCGCGACGCTGTCGGCCATGCTGATTTGATTGTAAGAAGTGCGTAAGACAGCTTCGGAGCTGTCGTAGGATTTCGTCGTAACCTGCGCAAAACTTACGAAAATTTCGTTTTGTGAATACGAATTAGTTTTTAAGTTTTGTCTTACGCACATTCTTGGCGTAAGATTATTGTTTCGTGAATCTGGCCTCTGCACTTCCGAAAGTCGCGGGAAAGGTAAGACAGACGCAGTCGACGTTGCGAGCAAACGACGTTGCAAAGGAGCAGACGACGCTCAGATAGGGGGTCGCGATCAGCCAATCAGGGCTCGGCGTTCTGACGTCACCGCTACCCCCTGCGCAAAAAGCAGACGAACTTGCCCTCCGCATTATCTAACTGAAACATTACAGCGCTTTGCAAGCTCTCCAGATTGAATGGAAATATTAATAACCAACCTTTCTTCCATTTCCTTTTTTTTTTCTTTTTTTTTTTTTTTTTTGGCACATTTACAATGCTTTTTTTAGACTCAAAATCAGAGGTACTTTACAAAGCCTCTCCATTGCATGACGAGCTCTCCTCCTCTCGATGCAGTTTTGAGAAATGTTAAAAGTCTGACTCGGACAAACCGGCACTCGATTTGCTGTCTTTGAATAAGAAAATTCTGAAGTTCCCAAAAACAAATTTGTATCCGCAGCTTTATTTTGAGTTCGCCCACAATGCAGCGCCCAATGTCCACAAGAATGCTGCTTTTTTTGGGAACCTCTTATCTATTGGCACATTTTCGGTATTTGCACCCGTTCACTGGAGGTTGGGACGCCCTTTAATGTAAGCCTCAATAAACGACTCGCTGAATCTCTGGGAAAACCTGAAAAAGCAGCCTCGAATTAAAAAAAACGTTCAGCCTTTCCACTCTCGTGAAGAAGGAAGACCAGCGGAGCTCTACTCGATACGCTGTCTGCTTCTTCTTCATCGTCGTCTGTTTTTCGCACTGTTTCCTACGATGAATTCCCACCAACGCACCCAACTATCCATTCTATTATAGCCGGAAAGGTTGGTGCCATCTACGAGCAACGGCGGAAACCATACAGGTTGTGTGCTTGCCGCCGTCGCTTATAGATGGCGGTAGCTGTCCAGGCAGGTTTGTGTCGACATACCGGACACGATCCTGGGGAACCTAGCCCCTAAGAGCTCCGCTGTAAAAAGCTCCCAAACGCAGTGCCCCGGTTACATCCTAATGTGGGGTTTTTGAACTTGCACGAAATACCATACTGTATATTTGGTGGCAGGTTAAGAGGGGAAGCTCTTCCCACTTTAGCAGAGCTGGAGACGAGGTTGTCTTCTCTGCAACCTTTACTCTGCTACAATGGGGTGGAAAGGGCTGAGTTCTTAACCTGTCACCAACTCTCTAGGGCTGTGTTCCAAATCTTGCCCAAAAAGATCAGAGTTACTCCGGCGGGTCGTGTCACGTGACAACACAGACTGAAAAACGCTGGGCGCGGGTAAGTTTTAGAATGCCAAGCGTTTAAAACCCTTACCCTGGAATAGAATCGAGTAAATTTTGGAACACGGCCTAGCTTGCCTGCACTCCTCACGCCGAAGCAACCTTGTTCGAGGTGTTTCACATCTTGGAATCTCAGCCTCAAAGAGTAACTTTTGATATTAGTCTGCCACATGTTAACTTGCAGTACAAACTTTGCTTTTTGATGCACTTTAACGATGTTTCCTGCGCAAATTAGCCAACGGCAGACGAAAATGACGACGTGTGTCTTTCACGGAGCAAAGGCACAGATAGTGTCACTAACTAAGCTACGCCTGGAGTCTTGACGCGACATCTTGCGTGTGCCACCATTTTGCGGCCTTGTGCGAAACGGGCGAAAATTGCGATAGCTCCAATTAAAAACTCGGACTTCCCAATCTTTATATAAGATGTTGAATGACTCGGTCAGGTGATATTGTTTTTTTCTCTCGCGACTGTTTTCACATTCCTGGAAGACAGAAAAGAGTTTCGCGCAATTTAATATTTCATATAACTGGCAGCGGCAATTTTAAACACTTTTTAGCGTAGCTAGAGTCACTCAAAGAGCTATGCCTGAGAATAACCACACTGCTGCCATTTCGGAGCTTAGAAGTATTGAATGTGAAAACAGTCCATGACGGAGCGAAACATGTTGCCCGAGCCTCCCTCGGCTGCTTATCTAAAGCCCGGGAAGTAGAGTTTTGAAGTTGTAGCTGTCGCCAATTGCACCCGTTCCACATAGAGCAGCGAGAGCATCTGTAAGACCGTTGGGGAATGGAACTGTGAGCTGGGATTTCTCTTCCGTCTCAAAGATCCAGTGGTTGAGGAACCCCTCGCGGTCCTGGCATTCGTGCAACCAAGCAGGAGCCTACGTACTTTGTAAACAGCAATGTGTATACTACAGAGTCAAAGAAAGAAAACTCAAACCAAAAGTTTAGAAACAAACCGTTCACAACGTTTCGGGGTCGACTTGACTCCTTCTTCAGGGGTGGCTAAAAATGGAATGGGACAGCCCGAGCTTCGACCAGAGGCTCCGGAAGTCTTTCTTTAGAGAGGGGGCTCGACATCGCCGAAATCCTCAAGGTTAGGTTGGTTTCAGGTTGACATTAATTGCCATCTTTGAATGAAAACATATTAATGCAGCGCGTTCGCATATTCACGCACATATCCATGGAAAACAAATTAAAACAATGGCTCAGTAAAATAACAGGAAAAGAAGCTTGCACTGACAACTCATTCAATGATTGGATAATCATTGAAATCAGCCGCACCATGTGTTCTTTATTTTTTCTTTCCTATACCAACTGTTACATATCAACCGCAGCTGTGCCTATGTTAAATTGATATGTAACAGTTGGTATAGGTATAGGTAACAGTTGGTATAGCACAAAGTATCGACAAATACTAGTAAAACTCTTTAAAAGCACTGGCACGGGTAGCATCCCACTGGAAGATGCAATATGTGTAGCTATCTCTAAAGTCACCAAAACAGTCACCCTACCCGCGAACAACCAAGTTCCTGACTTTATATATCTCGAAATCCGCGCTGCCTCTCGACGAGCTCAGCGAATTGCGAGACGCACAAATGCCCCCGCCGACTGGACAAAATCAAGGCGAATAGACGCAAAACTACGTCGTCATACCAGACGCCTAGGCAGACAACAATGGCAACTTCGAAGCGAATCGCTTAAAACTGATTCGGGGTCGAGGCTACCTTGGACCACTGTGAGATGCTTACTTGAGCCTGTATCTCAAGCATATCCTTTTGCTGAGATAGCGATAAAAGACAACCTTACTATGGCTAACCTCGCAGAAAAATTCGCTGACGAATTCTCAAGGCCTGTATCTCCACCGCAAGGCAAACCTCCAGCGCCGAAGCCTCCAGTCCCAAATTTCACCCTAGCCACTATAAACGACGACTTCACAAACCCAGAGCTAGACTATGCCCTGACTCGCTGTCGCCGCAAGGGTGCCCCAGGAGCCGACGGCATTACAAACCAAGCCCTCAAAAACATTGACGCTACGGATAGACCCCTTCTTCTAGAGTACCTCAACGTGATTTGGCGATTCGGCGAACTTCCTTCCTCCTGGCTACATTCTACTGTAGTAGCCGTCCCAAAAGCAGGCAAGTCGAAAGCCATCATAACATCTTACCGTCCAATCTCCTTAACCTCCTGTGTCTGCAAGCTTTTAGAGCGGATGATCCACCGACGGCTCAGCTGGCAACTTGAAGACGCACAAGCGCTACCACCACAGCTATCAGGGTTTCGCGCGGGCTGCTCAACAGCGGACTCGATTGGAAATCTGACATCATCACTAGAGCAAGCCAAGGCACAAAAACACGTTCTTCATGCTGTCTTTCTAGACATTCACCGAGCATTTGATGCACTTCCACACAACGTGATTATGGAGCGCCTTCGTCATATCGGTGTCAGAGGG